CAACCAGCTCCTCCTCACTATTTAGGTCTCAGTTGCAATGCCACCTCCCCAGGAAGGCCTCCCCTGACCACCCCGACACTGCCTCCCTCACCGCCTATAGTCCCTTTATACTGGGTCACCGTCTATCTGCCCCACTCCAGTGATACCCTCAAGAGCAAGGACCTTGTCTGTTTTGTTCACGCCCACATTCTCAGCTTTTCAGCATCTAGAATGGTGCCCAGCAGATCACAGGCACACCTTAAGTTTCAGCTGATTGAATTAACAGTCATGTTGAATGAACTAATTTATTTCCCCCTTGAAGCGGAAGGGCCTCTGGATTTTCCACAGTGTCTTATCTAACCAACTCTTAAGTATCTGGGCTGCAACTTTCTTGCAAACAGAGACCATACCTTAATAATTTTACTTGCACAGTAAATATTCATTAATCATTAATAAATACATGTTAGGAGAATTTTATGCTCTCATTAAGGTCCACCTGATCTTGCATTTGAAAATGTCCAGATAAAAAATGGCAGATAAGAGCAGAAAGCAAGGAAAACCATCGATTTAGTTCTCCATTCAGCCAAAGCCTAATGTTCAGAACTTGTACATAATATATAACCCATTTCTTGTCCTTCTGGGAAGACACTGGTGCCAGGTGGGACTGTGTGCAAATCCAGCCAGGGCTCTCAGAGGCCAAGGTGGGACTCCACAAGCCAAAGAACTCTCCAGTGAATCATTTAAGGCCATTAAAAACTTTCTGAAGAAATCATTCTACTTCCCCTTTCAGGGAACTACCTGGGACTCTCTCTTGGCCCCATTTCCCCGACCCCGTTAGCACTGACAGGTGTTAGGTCTTCCTTCTAACTAGAAACTTTGTCTTCTCTCTTAGAATTACCTCTCTGAACAGGACTTTGTTTCTGTGTTTGGCATCACAAGAGGGCAATTTGCTGCTCTGCCTGGCTGGAAACAGCTCCAGATGAAGAAAGAAAAGGGGCTTTTCTGAGGCAAGAAGGCATCTGCCTACTGCGAGACCCCAGGAGAAAGCAGATAGTGCCAGTACCGGGAAAGAATTTCTCTACTAATTTCTGCCTAACATCCAGCTACTTAATGTTGATACAGTAGGCTCTGCAAATCACAGCATGTTCTCCATTTTTCTCATCCCTGCGTTCCTTCGTTGTTATATACCTAAAATGTTAGCTACCCACTTTTTAATTTTTGTGGCCTCAGCAGAAAGCACTAAAACTGCAGGAATCTGGAGAAGTCAAAAGTAAGAGAACAAAAAAACTAAGTTTAAAGTGTTTAATATTGGGGCAAGGGCCTAAGTTTGTTTTAAATCTTAAGATCGGTATTTCCTGTTTAACCCACAAATCACTGAAGTTATTCACATATACACCCTGAAGTCAAAATCTAAATGCTCAGAACTGTATGTGCCAGAGACTTTGAAATTTTCAAATAAAGATACCTGTAAGAGCAAAAGGGAGGTTTTTTTTTTCAGTATTTTGGGTCTGCCCATTATGATAACTATTTTGTTCTACTGGGAGAAATGTCTCAGTACTGGGCAAGTAAAGAGGCACTGCTGAGTGAGCTCTCTGGATAACTGGAATCCCTGTTGACCTAAGAATGCCAAAATCTGCCTTACAGCTGTCCAGGAAACCTCAGTCCCCACCCATCCCCACCCCACTATCCAGAGGAGAAACAGGGCCATGTGTTATTAATTTCAGTAATGAGGACAGAATCAATGTGTATACCACTGCAGAGAGAATTCAAAGCACGCTATGGACATCAACAAATGAACCACATTTTCCAGACAACTCCAAGTTTGAGTCAACAATTCCAAAGAATCCATGTGGCACAAGTAATGTAACTGGGGAAGTTCCAGGATAGAAGCATAGTCCAAAGCGTCACAAAGCAAAACCGAACAAGAGAGTTCTATGTCACAGGAGTAGGATGGAACAAGGTAGACATTTTAGGGACACCATAATAAATCTGCATTGAAGGGGGCAGCAGCACAGTTGGTGATGCCTGTTCTCCCAGACACTGTCAGTCACTTCAGTGAGACCCACCTGTTGTTTTCTAAAACCTGTCACAAGTCAGGCACAAAAAAGCTAGACCCAGCATTACACAAACAAAGAAAAGATTCTACTCTCTTTATTATATAACAATTTTATTTAATAGCTTAACCCATGAAGTATATAATTTCATTATAAACTCAAATGAAAAACAAATGCTGGGTTTGAAGAGGCTTAGGAAATAACTCCTTTTTGTAATAATGTCCAGAGTTAAGAATAAACATTTTCTCCTGGGCCAAAAGTCTCTGGAACCTATTCAGCCTCTGCTGCCTCTTTGCCTTCTCCACATTCAAACCGCACGAAGTCTACTACAGACACCCCTTGGGGCTGCACATACTGTCCCAGTGTGATGGAGGGATCCAGCAAGTACGGCTGGGACAGCATCTTGGTTTCTGCCTCTCCCCCAGGCTCATCGTCCAGGGAGCCAACAGAGAGAGGAGCCATGCCCACCACATGCTGCCCAAGGCGGCGGCCAAGGTCTTCAAGGTTTGCTTTCTGCTCAGACGTCTCGCAGATGACCAGGGCCCCATATTTCCCCAGAACCAGGTTGTGGAGCGAGGGACTGTGCATTGCCCCATGGACATAAGAGCCAACATAGAACCCAGCTGGCACCTTCACCCATGCAGCTCGTTTAAGAATCATGTTTTCTCCCAGCTTCCCTGTGAGAGAGCAAAAACAAAAAACACACTTCCAGAATATGATGCTCGTGGTAGTACCAAAATATGCACAGAAGCAGCCAAGTCTGGGAGACGGCCCTCCGCATCTACACCGTGGATGTGCCACAGAGGGAGAGATACCATTTTCAGTGTAAACAGGAAAAGGGGTGTGGGGGGAGAGGGTGGGAGAAATGGAGTGAACACCAACTAGGCGCCATGCTGGTATTCAGAAACACAGGCTCTGGTGTCACACATATTCTGGGCGCGGGTCTCAGTTCTGCCTCTCACTGGCTTCGACCTTAGGCAAGTAACTTAATGATATAACCCCATAATTCATCAAGCCTTCATTTTCTCTTCTGTAAAATGGAGAGGATGCCACTTAAATAACCTGAAAACAGGGTTATTGGGAGAAATAAATAAGATGTGTAAAAGAGCTTATTACAGTATCTGCACATAGTGAGTGCTCCAATCTGGCTATCATCACTACCTTAAACTCAGGCTTAGAGAGCTTAAGGAAGCTGCCTAAGGCTACAGAGCTAATGTATGGCAGAGCTGGAATTAAAATTCAGATCTAGGGACTTCCCTGGAGGTCCAGTGGTTAAGACTTCGCCTGCCAATGCAGGGGGTGCAGGTTCAATCCCTGGTCGGGGAGCTAAGATCCCACATGCCTCATAGCCAAAAAACAAAAATGTCAAACAGGGCTTCCCTGGTGGCACAGTGGTTGAGAGTCCGCCTGCTGATGCAGGGGACACGGGTTCGTGCCCCGGTCCGGGAAGATCCCACATGCCGCGGAGCGGCTGGGCCCGTGAGCCATGGCCGCTGAGCCTGCGCGTCCGGAGCCTGTGCTCCGCAACGGGAGAGGCCACGACAGTGAGAGGCCCCCGTACCACAAAAAAAAAAAAAGAAAGTCAAACAGAAGCAATACTGTAACAAATTCAATAAAGACTTTAAAAATCATCCACATCAAAAAAAAATCTTAAAAAAAACAAAAAAACAAAAATAACCCCCTCAGATCTGACTCCAAACCAATTGTGTTTTTTCCCCACCAAATCACCATCCCTCCTAAAAACCACTATAACTGACACAGACAACTCCTGATCATCCACTGTATCAGGAAAAAGTCCAAAACTAAAAGCCCCAGAAAATCCAAAGCCCCGTGTCATATGGTGGTTTCAACTTCCCCTCATCAAAAATTAAAAGATAATATTTTCAGAGTTATTTATAAGAACCAAAAACAGATTCTAGGATGCTATCCCCTCTAACACAAGTCCAAAGAAGCCAAAAGGTAGGCAGGGGTAGGAGAATAGACAAAGGGGTCTGGGTAAATATCCCTGAATTAGCCATTGTTATAACTAAAAGTCATAAAAGGGAAGCATCCAGAAACCAAAAGGAATCTTAAAACAGCTCAAAGCATCTACCCAATAGTTAATTCCCAGAAACTGGCAAGGCTGAAACACCCAATTCTTCCAGAATTTCTTAATAAGTTCCATACACGGCTGTCTATCTAGTTTTTCAACCATGACTCACTGAAACATCATACATACTTCAAGATGACCTGATAAAAACAGAATTGATGCCCTGACTGGAAACATCAGATGAGCAGTAAATTCCCAGCAAGCTCCAACACCAGCCGTACCTCCCTCCTTCCATCAAGGACATGTACGAAGAAGGCAAAATCCCTACTACTCCCACTGCCAATGATCCAGATACGGCTCCTATAGCTAGTGGTTCTGAAAGAATGTACCTTCACAAATTCAGGATCAGATTTTTTTTTTAAGAGAGGACAAATTCCTAAACATGATGCCCTGAAATACTCCTGGATCCCTTCATAAAGAAGATGAAATGACCTCTGACGGACTATTTCCTTCATAGTGTACAGAGAGGTAGTCAACCGGAGGTCAAAAGGCCATCTCTGCCTAAAGACATGCTTTGTTTGGTCAGCACAGTGATGCCTACTAATTTTAAGTAGTTGCAAACAGCTAGAAACTAAATATTTTTTCATACAAATCCAAATTCTTTTAAAGGAATTTAAAAATTCTGATGACACTGGGATCCCATTTCCCTCAAAGTAATAACAGGTGGCTTGGTAATGGTTTTCTTCAGCAGAGTGTGAGCTTTTCAGGGTGTCCACTGCTCACTAATATCTAACACACAACCCACCTCTCGCAATCAGATTATCAGACCCTTGAAGGAACTTGACCTTGTAATTCTTGATCTAGATTTGGAGGAATACCAAAGATACCAGGAGATCCAGTTATCAATCTCCCGTTTCCAGATCCTTACAAATACTCACCAATTGCTAAGGCCAGCTGATCCCTGAGACAGCCTTCTCTCTCACGCCCAGCTGGAAGTTCAGAGAGCTCAGAGGAATTCAAGAAGCCCTAAGTGCACAAAGAAAATGAACACGAGTCAGTCTGTATAATTAAAATTACCAAGAGACTAAGCAAAAATATAGTCTATTTCTCAGAAAATGATTTAAGACAACTAAGTATAAATAGACATTGTTTTCATTATGCCAAGAACGTTAAAAATTGCTAAGCGCTCCACCCCCAATGCCATCCCAATCTCTGGCCTAACTTCTTAGAATGCAGTTTCCTAGAAATCAGAAACAATATTTTCATACAATCATAAAATGTTGAAACTAAAAGGTTTGTAGATTGTTGGTAGGAATGAAAAATGGTGCAAATCCAATGGCAGGGAATTGGACAATAGCTAACAAAACTACATACACTTTTAAAAAAATAAATAAAATAAAAAAACAAAACAAAAAAAACCTACATACACTTTTATCCTTTGACCCTGCAATCCTATTTCCAGAAATTTACTCTAATACACTTCCAACAATACAAAAGTACATAGGCACAAAGTTATTCATTGAGCAATTATTTCTAATCGTAAAATACTGGGAAGTCTAAATGTCCAAACAGGCAGAGTCTGGCTGAATAAACCGCAGTACTGTCACAAAATGGAATACTATGCAGCTGGGAGAAGAGAGAGAAAGATGGTCTCCAGGAGCTGCTATGGAGTAGTTCCAGGATATATTAAGTGAAAAAAGCAAATTAAAAGAATACATACATATTATACCAACACTTGTGTAATAAATATTTGTGTAAATATGCTTATTTTTGCAAAAAGGATAACCTGAAATTAGTGGAGATGGTTATCCACAGGAGTGGACAGGAATGGGGTGGAAGGGAGAGGAGGGAAGTAAGACTTGTGTATGTGGCTGGGGGAGGGGGGAGGAGAGTTTTAACTTCCAGAACTTTGTTAATGTTTTACATATTCAAAAATAAAATTAGGGGCTTCCCTGGTGGCGCAGTGGTTGAGAGTCTGCCTGCCAATGCAGGGTACATGGGTTCGTGCCCCAGTCCGGGAAGTTCCCACATGCTGCAGAGCGGCTGGGCCCGTGAGCCATGGCCGCTGGGCCTGCATGTCCGGAGCCTGTGCTCCGCAACGGGAGAGGCCACAACAGTGAGAGGCCCACATACCGCAAAAACACAAAACAAAACAAAACAAACCACAAAAATAAAATTAAATTAACAAGGATTGGGGGTGAAAACAAACACTGACTAAACAGAAACAGAGATTCTAACTGTATTTCAAAAGAATAACACAATCTCAAAAGGGGGGAAAAAACTAATCCAAGTTACTTTCGATACAATCCTTTGGCCACATAACTTCAAAGTAAGGACAAAAAGAACATCAAAGAAATCCTGAACTCCTTAGTAGGTTTGTTATTTGCAGCGGTCAGGGGTAGTAACTCTGAAACAAAGTGTGTACCCTACAGAGAGTAAATAAGCAAACATACTGAAATTGCTAGAAGCCAGTGGATTCACTATGAGAGAAGGAAGGTACAAATACAGAAAGGGGGAAGAAAAGAAAGAAGCCTGTGGTGCAAGATTAGAACCGAAACGTACACACACACACACATTTCCTAGCTCTGCTGAAAGAGCAGAGCAGCAATGACATCTCAGTAGAATTAAGCATACCTAATGCTGCCCAGATCTTGGTTTCTAAAAACCATTCCCCCACCAGAAAGGATCAGGACCCCTTGGAGAAGTTGCCAATCCCATGGCTGGGGCAAGGAAAGTATGACATAAACCCAGAATACTCTGTTATGCCAAAAAGTACGGAAATAGTCAGAAAATAATAAGGCCATACCAAAAAGACAATGGAGCCAGCTTGCATAGGCTTGGCTTAAACTTGCCAAATCCGGGGATAATTTGAGCATTAAAATGACGAATGGACCCGCGTGCAGCAACAAAGACCCAACGCAGCCGAAAATAAATAAATAAATATATATATTTTTTTTAAAAAAAGAAAAAGACTAATGGATTGTATAATGAATTGTATAAAAAAAGAATCTATGAGTCAGTGTTGCTACTAAGTAAATCCCTAAATATAGGGAGAAGGAGATATCTCCTTATTACAATAGAATGCCACCTAATAAAACTAACCCATGTGAAAGAAACTATAAGGGTTAGAAAAATAACCATTATGCAACTATCACAGTAACAACTGGTCCTGACAAGAATCATCAAGGGATGCTAAAACTTTTAGGCACAAGTTTTTTGAGGAACTGGATGTCTACACAGTCTCAAAAAAATCTCCCATACAGATTACTTACTAGTTACAAAAAAGGAACATGGTAAGTTTAGAGTGGAGAAACCTGGCAGATACTACCTTAACCAAGAGATCAAAATTAGCACCATCAATAACAAGACCACAGTCCTAATCCCCTGTGCCTCCTGATGTGATGTTCTGAGAAAAACAGAGGGTAATTTATTTAAGATTCTTATAAAAATCCATATTCTAAGTATGAAGAAACATCAGTTGAACCCAAATTGAAGGACATTCTACACAACTGTCCTGTACCCTTCAAAAATGTCAATGTAATGAAAGACAAAGAAAGGCTGAGGAACAAAGAAAGGAAACCAAACTGACATGGCAACTAATTGCAACACATGCTACTGGACTGGATCCTGGATCACAAGAAAAACTGCTAGTTGCCAAAAACGGAATGTATATTGTATATTATCTAAATAAAAATATTGTATCAATGTTAAAATTCCTGAATGTGATCACTGTACTGTGGTTATATAGGAAAATGTCCTTGTTTTTAGGAGATACATGCTGAAGGGATAAAGGGTTCTAATGTCCGCAACATACTCCCAAAAGGATAAAAAAATAGGAATGACGATAATATGAATATAAAAAGTGATAAAGTAAATAAGGCAAAATGTTAACAAATGGTGAATCTAGATGAATTTACTCTCTAGTTTACTGTAGAATACTGGCGACTTTTCTGCAAATTTGAATTTTCTTCAAAATAAAAGTTTTAAAAAGATAAAGCCCAAAAGGAAAAAATTAATAAAGCTAAAAGGGACCAAAGTCCCTTGTTACAGATAATGAAACAGAGACACAGTAAAGTAAGTGAATAGCTCAGGGTTACAAACAGCTACTGGCAAAGTCAAGATTAGAATTTCTACTTCAAGTGACTCATCTATTCAGTACAATTCTAAAAAATAATCTCAACATAGTTTTCCATGTAATATGACTATTTAATGGCAGTAATAATTAACATTTACCACAAGATCTCAAAAGAAAGATAAACAGAAGGAAAAGGGTGGTACTAAACAAAAAAATTGTTGTGAGTAGTTGGTTCATTTTTGCCTTGGCCATAAGGATGGATCAAAGGCGTACTGATACAATTCCTTCCTTGATCCTTCTATAGGTAAGAATATGCTTAGTCTCCTAAATTATGCCTTCTCCAGTATCTATATTTAGAAATCCTTTCCTCAGGCCATTCTAGATTTCTGAACACAAAGCTTCACCTGATTTATGGACTGTATTGCACTGGCATTCATTCATTCATTCAACAGAGCCCCTAGCAAGCGCTGGGCCCACTCCTCATGCACCAGAGACACACTAGTGAAAAGACAAATCTCCTGCCTTATGAAGCTTACATTCTATTGGGGAAGGCAAACGAGAAATAAATAAATTAAAACGTAATATATAAGAACTATAACAACAAATTTTAAATGAAGCAAAATAAGGGGATAGAGCAATAGGAGGAAGGTACTCCTCTCCAGAGAGATAACATTTAAGCAGAAACATAAAATAAGGAAGTGAGACATGAGAATGTCTGAAAAAATGGAATAGCAAAGACCCTAAGAGGGGAGGAACAAATCCAGCATGTTGGAGACAACCCCCAAACTCACTTTACTATATGTAGACAGTTGATCCTTTAGGCTCTGACAATGCAACAGGGTTCCCAGGGCTACTTGCTGGACCAATTGTTGAAATTTTAAATTTCTGGAAACAAAATCTGTCTCACAGTTCACCTGTGGGAAGAAATTGATGTTGCTGTATAAGCTGTTTACTAATAGTCTCCAAAAATGCCTTAAAGCAAGGTATTGGTAATACAGGCAGCAGACGCAACAAAACAGAAATAAATGTCTCTAAGATTAAATCCACAGTTCCTCTACTAGCTTGAGGCCAGAAACTGAATGAAGTGATTCCTGCTGTGCCAATGAGTTAGCAATAACCTGTGCATTCACAGGACGGTTCCATAACGTCCCCCAAAGGATTCACTACAAGTTCACCACCTGCCTGTGGCACATGCCATAATCGCCTCATTCCCTAGGCTCCTCCAATGCCAAACCACTTTTATCAGCTTGTTTATCTCTTCTCTCGCTCTAGACTAATCCACACCTGATTCTTCACCAGCTGGGCCCCTAAACCTCCTCTAAAACAGCTGCTTGCTGTTCATCATCTAATTAGTCTAATTCCTAGCTTTAAAATCTAACTATTCCAGGAAACAATCAGTGACGAGGTGTAAGGCCACAATTGACTCACATTTAGGAATAACAGTCTACACTACTAGGCCTTTTCTCACCCACAACCTGTGCATTTCTATACTTAAATGAATCCATAGCTAGTAACTGCAGTCTCACGGGCTTAATTCTAACTAGCTTTTATGGTTCTCAAACACCTCTTCTTTAAGAATGCAAAGGGTCTACCACAAAGCCTACACCCAAGGGACAGCTGTTCCTGGCATCTGGAACTCTGACAACTCACCTCTACTAACACAGTCGTGTTTCCTTCCTGCAGCAGCCCAATCAGACCTTCTTTGGTCTTCCTGCCATGGAGCCTGGCAGCTTTACTCCAGCCCTCCTTCTGGGCCTGTTTGTGGAGCCAGCTCTCTGCCTATAAATAAAAAAGATAAAAGGCAGATGACAAAGGCACAGAATTTAGAACAGAATGGGGCTCTAAAATACCTCAGGTTCCCCAGTTCTTTCTCCTTCCCCTCAGCCCTACAAGAGAAACTAATCTATCATTTATTGGCAGCCTACCACTAAATGACAAACAGTGGGCATTGTGCCTGGTGTTTTGAATAAGTTTAATCTTCACAACAACTCTATGGGAAGATAGTACTATTTTCTTTATATAAAAAAAACCAATGCAACTCTGAAATATTAAGTAAGGTGTCCAAGGTCACAGGATTAGTGTGAGGATACCACGATTTGGGTCTTAGTCGTCGGTCTGACTCCAAAGCTCCCACGAGCCCTTTCAGCCCCAAGCAGCAGGAAACCTCATAGCAGCCTTGCATGGAATAGTTTCTTAGCCCTGCGACCCTGAGTCAATTGCTTCGAAATAGGTAAGAGTCAATGGGTGAGACTGTCATTGAAGTCAGAATCCTATCTAGGACTCTATCGTTATGGATCACTGGGCAGCAGATCTGACTTCTACGCGACCTCCCAAACGCACTGGGGTCGGGCCCCAGTACCCCACTCCCACCCCCGCGCCTGCTCCCCTCTACTTCCTCTCCCACACCTGTTTGAGATCCCCGCCACAAGTCTCCAGAGCCTTCTTGCAGTTTACAAAGGAGTAGCCCGTTCTCCGCCGCAGCTTCATGAGGAGCTCCTTGCTGGAAGCCGAGGAGGACAGCCAGGGCCCAGCGTGAAATGTATGCCACGGCTGGGGCGACTGAAGCAGAAGGGGCCCCACCTGGAGGGAGTAAGAAAGCATGAGAAGCAGGAAGCAGCAAGGAACTCGTGGGGTGGGAGCACGTCGGCCGGGAGGCGACCTTAGTAGAGACAGACCCGGGGGTGGGGGAAAGGCAGCGCCCGGACGCTGCACCATGAAGAGGGACTGAGGTGCGGGGAAGGGGGAGATGGAGCCGAACGCAGCCAGCGGAAGGGGAGTGAGCGTGCCCGGCGCACGGGAGACCTGCAAGGAAGGCAGAACGGGGCCAGGACCAAGAGCACTCACTGGGCAGCTCCCGGCCCGCGCGACCAAACAGAGGCGCAGTGAGCGCAGCGAGCGCAGCAGCGACATCTTTCCGGGGGCCGTACGCTGTTGCCGCACCCGTGAGGCCACGGGCCTACGGCGTAGCGGCGCGGCCAAAACTCTCCACCGGAACGCGCCAAGAGGAGATGGCGCCACCTGCTGTCCGGGGGGGTGCATTCGCCTCCTCTACTTGGCGTATTGAGACTACATTTCACAAGGGAATTACCCCCCGCAAGTAAAATAACAGAAAGCATGAGACAGAAGTGTCACAAAATAACAATACAAGACACGTGGTAACACTTCATGTTTATTTCCAATGTACTTCATATTCATTATCCATTTATGACTCATGACAAACTTGTGAGGTAGTTGGGTGAGGTTCAGAAGTTTGGCCAAGGTCACACAGGGAGGAGGAGTAAATATTTGTTGAACGAACAAAAATATTTGATGAACACCAACTGTGTGCCAGGAACCATAGCCCTGCCCTCCAAGGTAATCTAATGGTGAGAAAATAGGGAGCAGACAAATGATCACACGAGACAAGGTAAGCCTCACAAGACGAACAGTTAGTTAAAGCGTCTCAAGGGAGAAAGAAATCACATTCAAACAGGAGGCTCAGGAAAAGCTTTCTTCAGGAGAGAAGCTAAGAATAATGAAGAGTTTGAGAGGTAGAAATAGCCCTTCCAGGCAGGGAATCATCAAAAAGAATGAAGGAAGAAGCCAGGGAATCTTGGTGTGGATTTAGGGAACAAAGAGTAGACCTTTTGTAATTTGGCCAGAGGTTGCCATACATGTAGGAGACCAGTAGGAAATGAAGTAGCAGGATAATTTGGGATCACACGGGACACACTGAGTACCAAGCAGAAGAGCTTATTCTTGCTTCTGTTGGGCAGCAGCAGAAGCTAATCAGAGCTGATTTTGGATGATCACCAGAGTTTACAAAATGGTTTGAAGGGGAGTGAATGGAGGCCAGGAGGCCCCAGGAGGTGATGTGTGGCCCAAGGAGTAAGTCAGGAGAGCCCCTATCAGAGGCCCCACAGTGGGAGGAGAAAAGAGGTGAAGGCAAAACACATTAGGAAGGAAGGACTGATAGGGACTGGAAACCTAAAGAAAAATCAAAGAGAACCTGGTACTTAGTGATCAGGGGTCCAACTCCAGAAAGAGTGAAGGAGCTATGGTCCAAAGGACAGCTCTGCTGCCTATCCCCAACTTCCGGGCTGGGAGGACTTAACCCAGTTAGAGCCATGGTTCCTCCAGACTTATCTCTAGAAGCAAGAAGTGGGTGGTCGGAGTTTTCTTGCTTCCCAGCCCCCCAGTAAAAGCCCGAGTTCTCTGGATGCAGAAGAGATCTTTAATGCTTATTTATTTTCCTTTTTTTTTTTTTTTTTCTTTTGCTGTACACGGGCCTCTCACTGCTGTGGCCTCTCCCGCTGCGGAGCACAGGCTCGGGACGCGCAGGCCCAGCGGCCATGGCTCACGAGCCCAGCCGCTCCGCGGCATGTGGGACCTTCCCGGACCGGGGGCACGAACCCGCGTCCCCTGCATCGGCAGGCGGACTCTCAACCATTGCGCCACCAGAGAAGCCCTATTTTCCTTTTTAAAAAATTCCAGTAGAATCTGGAAAAAAAAAATCCATTCTGTATAAAAAGACAACAGCAGGACTAGATGGGATCATGACTGTCTCTCTGCAGCCACTGTTCACACATCCCACTTACCTCCCCTTCCCGTAAAATCCTGGATACCCTCCCATCTTCCACTGCTGAGAACAGGAACTGGGAATTTCCTTTGCACTCTAGCCCGGTACAGCTAGGGCTCTAGTATTCCTAGCACATAGCACCTCCCTGCACCTGCCCAAGAGTATCTCAGGAAACAAAAAGGGAAGGAGGAAAGACAGAGGCAAGGGAAATCCATCGTTTTTGGTCCTTATGTTTATGGCTCTGGACATATGGCAGTTCCTTCATTAGAACAAGGCGTTCAGAGGAGCAGAAGGGTGACATCAAGCAGGTCTTGGTCCCCTGTGCCTGGCCCTATAGATGTTAACATTCTCATTCTCATCCCGCTTGGCCAGCTCCAGTTGGAAATGCTGGGGCAGGAGATGCTGAAAGAAGCTCTCTGTCCCGTGCTCCTCTCTCATCTTGGAAGCCAGATAGATGGTGCCATGGGGCCCGCACAGGTGTTGGAGGGTCCCCAGCAGCAGTGGGAAGGTGGGCTCCAGATACACGATATCAGCCCCCAGCACCAGGTCATAGTCTCCAGGGAAGACATGCTGGTCAATCCCCCAGGACAAGGCGCGGACCTGGGCCCGGCCTCCAGCCGGCACATTGGCCTGGACGTTGCCCTGGATCTGTTCTAGGACCAGGGGCAGGTCAGTGATGGTAACATCCCCCCCTGAGAGAGAGGAAGGAGGAGAAATGCAAGTCAGAGGGACCAACCAAGGGGTTTCGGCTCCTGCCCAGAAGGTGCAGGGACCTCAGGGCTTAGAGGATAATGTTTGGACAGCCCAAAGTCCACACTTTGAATTTTAGTTGCCCTAACCTCAACCTCAGCCATCTCATTACTCTACATTCTACAACATCAACATTCTCTCTAAGCTAATCTTCAACCTCTCTGCCCAACACACGACAATTAGATGTCAGCAGAAGCCTGGGCAGGACTAAGCTGGAGGTGGGCTGCACACCCACCCCTTACTGACACAAACCAGCCCTCATGGATCTGGAAAGCTTCCCAGAAGACATAACCTCAGCAAGCCTTAAAGGACAAGGAGGAGTTAGTCAAGTGGAGCTTCCCAAGCAGAGATCAGAGAGTACAAAGGCCTGGTTGGGAGAGAGCACACTGTATTCAAGGAAGGCTGGATCTCAGAGGATGTGGAAGGGAAGAGAAAAGTGTCAAAACAGGAGAGTACAGAGGAAAATGATTATGACATGCTAAGGAGATTCAGGCTTGATCCCGAGAGCAATAGGTTTTAAGGGCAGAAGCAGAGGGTGAAGATGATTAGATTAGGACTTCAGAAAGCTTCGTTCATGCAGTAAATATATTTATTGAGCATCTACTAAGTTCTGGGGGTACAGGCATGAGTAAAACAAAACCTTGGCCTTCCTTGAGTTCTGTTATAGAGGTAGAGACAAATGAGGTAATGCAAAACTATTTAATCACGATCATGGTGATTATTACAGAAAGAGAAAATACTCAGAATTCATTCATTAATATTCATTATGTGCCTCTATGCCAGGTGCTGAGAATACAGCAGTGAACCAATCAGACAAAATCCCTCTGCTCCCAGGGCTTACAGTCTAGTGGCAAGAGACCTACAACAACAAACAAAATGAGACAAACAAAACACACTGTAAGTCAGATGGTAATAAATGCTACGCTGAAGCATTAAGCAGGGAAGGAGGATAAGAACTGCTTGAGGGACAGGGCAGGAATGTCATTTTAAATTGGGTAGTTAGGGAAAGCCTCATGGAGCAGATTATGTTTGAGTAAAGACCTGTAGGAAGTGATGGAGCAAGCTCTGTGGGTCTCTCAGGTTAAGATGTACCAAATGAGGGACTAGCAAGTGTAAAGACCGTGAGGCAGGAGTGTGCCTGGCAAGTCTAAGGACCAGCAGGAAGGCCAGTAGCTGGAGCAGAGTAAGTGAGAGAAATAATAGTAGGGCCAGATTCTAGGCAGGGCAGCAATGTCTAGGAAATGGGTCAGATGCTGAATATATTTTGAAGGTACAGTCAAGAGGATTTGCTGACAGATTAGATACAAAACACTGGGAGCGGGAGGTTGAGGATGGCTCCAAGATATTTGGCCTGACCAACTAGAAGACTAAGTCATCATTTATTTAGGTGAGGAAGGCTGCAGGAGGAACAGGTATGGACAGGAAAATCATGAGTGTATTTCTGGGCACATTAAGCTTGAGATGTACATCAGAAAACCACAGGAATATATCGAGTAGGTAGCTGATTACACAAACAAATCTCGAGATACAAATGGGAGAGTCATAGAGTCATCAGCATGGAAAGGGCATTTAAAGCCACGAGGTGACGGAACTGCTTGGAAGTGAGTGTAGACAGAAAAGGGGAGGGGTCAGAGGACAGCTCCTGAACCCTGGCGCGCTCAGACTTTCAGTTGTGAAGAAGAACAGGAACCAACAAAGGAGAATGGAACAAATGCCAGCGAGGTGGGTGCCCTGGAAGCCAAAGGAGGGAGAGACAAACACTGCCAGTGTTTGTCACTGGCAGTAAGGTGGGCTCATAACTCACTCTTGTACTTAACAACATGGAGTCAGAAGTGAGGCTCACAGCCTTTCTGGAGCAACTGGAGTGGAGGGGGCAGGCTGGGCTGGGGAGGGGGGTAGAATCTAGAATGGAATTGAGGAAACAATAGGAAGAGAGGAATGACAATGAGCATTAACTCTTTTGAGTTTTGTCATAAAGCAGAGCAGAGAAATGGAGTGGGAACTGGAGGGATGTGTGGGATCAAGAGTTTTCTCTGATAGGAGACATTACAGCCTATTTATGTGCATAATACACACAAACACACATATGGAATGATCCCGAGAGAAGGGAAAACGGATAATGCAGGAGAGGTGGTGGAGCAGGGTGTTTGCAGGAACAATGTCTTTAGGTAGATGAGAAGGTTTGGGGTCTCATGACACACACTTGACCTTAACTAGGAGCACAGCACGTCTGCCATGGTAACAGGAGAGAAGGCAGTGCAGACAGACACAGACACAGCTGGGGAAGAGATGCTGTGATAAGAACATGTGGATATCTGCTATGAGAAAACAGAAGCGATCAGAAGAGCTAGGAAACAAAGTCATCAGCTGAGGAGACATTTGGAAGTTTGAAGGGCAAAAAGATAAGAAACAAGATGTTTAGGAGAGCAGAAGAATAAGTGGGTGAGGGCAGGGTAAGAGGCTAGCTGGGCAGCGCTTAAGGACGCATCTGAGGATAGTGACAACAAATTTAAAATGAAACCAGGGACCTCCCTGGCGGTCCAGTGGTTAGGACTCTGTGCTTCCACTGCAGGGGTCACGGGTTGGGGAACTAAGATCTTGCATGCTGCGAGGAGCAGCCAAAATAAATAAATAAAATAAAACCAGTCAACACAGTTGTATATTATACTAGGAGGGCCTGGGGGTGGGAGTGTCCAGGAGGCTTTCCCTTGGTAGTGATGTTTGAGCTGAGCGCTGAAGAAGGCATATGCATTAACCAGGTGGTACAAGGGTTCCAGACATAGAGTGCAGCCAGTGTGAAGGCTCCAAGGAAGGGGACATCGAGATAGGCTTGAGGAACTGATAGGAGGGCACTAGGTAGCACAAGGAGTACAAGAGGGAGAGGGAGAGGCAGAGAAAGAGGCTAGAGGGAGACGCAGGGCCTTGGAGGCCATGCCAAAGGGGTTAGTTCTATCCTGAAAGCAGCAAGAAGCCATTGAAAGATGGGGAAGAGATGCCAAAAGATCACTCTGCCAGTCGGGTGGAATGGTCAGAGGTCTAGGTGTGGGCAACGGGTAGAAGCAGGAAGACCATTTTGACTAATTGTAGCCTTCTAGGCAAGTGATGGTGACAAGGACTGGGGAGCCATCAGTGTGGATGGAAAAACAGGAGATTCAAGAGATTATTAGGAGATAAATTCGTGGGACTTGGATAATGGAGTTGGGGGTGAGAAAAAGGAACGTGTCAATTGTGGGTCTAGATGTCCCACTGGGTGGATGGTAATTTGATTCACTGAGATGGGGAAGGCTGAGGGAGAAACAGGTTTGGTGGCGGAAGAGCACAATATCTAGTTTGGGCAAGCCAAACTTCCCCATAGGGAAGCTCGAAGACACTTGTGAAAATCCAGGGAAAAGATGGCAGTGGCCTGAGCTAGAGATGGAGGGAAGAGGAATAGAGAACTCGGGAAGTACTAAGTTCACATGACCCAAAGGACTCACTGATTGCCAGGATGAGAGGGGAGAGGGCAACAGATGAGAATGACACCCAGATTTCCGACTTGGCAGCAGAATAGGGAGCAAAAGAAGGAGAAGCCAGTCTGGGAGCAAGTGAAAGATGTTTCCATCCATATTACACCCATTTTTCTCCCATTTTAGCATATCTGCCCACTTCTCATCCACCCATTCCTTCATGGAAAGCTGCTGTTGACACTCCCTCGGTTCTTTCTGAGCCTGCTATGTTCATATTCCTCATCTGACAGAGCTTCTCCCTGATGGGTTCCCAGAGAGTCAAGGGAGACACGGCCAGAGCATGTCCACTGGCTCTGCACATACCTCGCCATAGTTCTCATCCAGTAACATCTTCCCCCATCTTCACCACTAGACCATAAACTCCTTGGGGAGAGGAAATCTATCTTAATCATTGTTGTATCCCAATACCTAGCATGATTCTTGGCACATAGGGGACTCCAAATACATGTTGGCTGGATGAATAGAAGAAAGAATGCCTGCCTCTGGGAAGACTTCCCTGAATGTGTTTCGTGTTATGTCCCTATGAACAAGGACATGTTAATTTGCATTCCTAGGGAGATGACATCATAAGTGTTTTTAAAGGAACGTTTTCGGTGTGAAGTTTTGCCTGCCCGTTAGATTATAAACTAAGGAACCGTTTCCTTTGCAGTTTTTGGTTCTTGACAAAAATGGAGCAAAATTTTCCTTACCTTTTCCTTTCCCAAGTCTGCAGTGCCTAATTCCTACCCCACTTCCCACAAAACACACCCTAACCCTCAGAAACTCATAAGCTTGTTCCTCCCAAGCAATGAAATCCTAAAGAATCAAAAATATATTCACAATGAAGTCATAAAGTACTCATGAGGTTTAATACCTGCAAATTGCTCCCCCTACAGGATATACCCATATATGCATTTTGACAGAAGACCATATATAAAGCAAAGGAGATTTTTCCTTGTAAATATCCATGAAATCACAAAGAGCAAAAAGGTAGGAAAAACTCCTTCTACTAAGGCCTGCCCGATTTTTATTCCTTGCCCCCAAATTAACCACCTTGGGTGCTCTGACAGCCAATCAGCGCTGTCTGGCACACAGGAGCAAGTAGGGGCACACACACGAAAAAAGTTAGAAAGAAGGGACTAGGCTGGTTCCAAACCATTCCCCTCTCCCAAGAATACAGGAAGTGACAACTTCTCCACATCCCCGTCCTCTCCCCCACCCCCTCCCACCGCAAAGCTCACGCACCCTGCAGCGCTGCCAAGATACCCACGATGCCCGTCCCAGCGCCCAGTTCGATCACTTTCTTGCCTCGGAAATCCACATTCTGACTCTCGAAATAGTTGCACAGGCTTAGAGCCTACGGGAGAAAAGAGAGAAAAGATAAGACTGCAGCGGGGATTGGCTCCATATGGGAAAGCGACAGTCCGGGGTCTGACCTTCCGCGGACCCTAGCCCAGGGCCGCTCACTCCTCACCGCGTCCCACACGTGCGCTGCCACCCCGAGGCGGGACCCGAAGTTCTCCGTGATGCTCAGCACGTGACCACAGAAATAGAACCGGCTTTTCTTCGAGTAGGAGTCGGCGAAGAGTCTGACCTCCCGTGGGAACACGGATTCGGGCTCTGATTCAGGATCTGGGCGGGGATCCGCCATCTGGCCGCGAGAGTGCCGGGTCGCCGGCCAGCGCTCGGATCCCGGATCTGAAGCGGCGTGGGGGTTGAGGACCGCGGGCCGTCTCGGCTGCCCAGTGGCACCGAGCCCCACCTCCCCGAGTTTGCCCTCCTTCCTCCAGTTTGACTTCCTGGAGGTGGAATGAGGAGCTGCCTCCTTAGCTCCGGTCCCCAGCGCACACACGATGGGACTCACGCCGCACCACGGGGGTCAGACCCGGTCGACTGCTCGGAGAGCGGGAGAAGGGGAGAGGAGGGAGGATTAACTCACCGTAGGAAGCGGGGTCCCTGGACCCCTCTCACCTGCGGGGTGCACGGGGGCCTGCAACCGGGGTGGTAACCCAGACCAAACAGAAGCAGGCTAAGGAAAGAGGCTGGGTGGGGTCTGGCCTTGCCAGCCCAGTTAAAGACCAGCGGCCCGGAGGCGCCCTCCCGCGCGGCCCCTCTGCGTTCCTCCCTGCCCAGCCCATTAGAATTCACTCCTGGAGCTTTAAGGGGTGGGCTCTGCTCACTACGTGCCTTCGTGCGTCATTCTCGTGCGCCCTGAGCCTCGGTCGTGGTCCACGTGGGTTCGGTGGATAAACCCGGGCTGGGGATCATGGCGGGAACAGAGACTAGGGACGCCGCAGCAGGAGCCGAGGCCCCTCAGCCTCAGAAGCGCTACTATCGGCAGCGGGCTCACTCCAACCCCATGGCGGACCATACGCTGCGCTAGTGAGTGAGCAGGGCAGGGGCGAGCGGGGGAGGGAGAGTAGGGCAGAATTCTCAGAGTAGCCGGGAAAAGCGATTGTGCTGCGACGGTTGGAGGGTTTAGGGTAGGCTCGGGAGGAGCAGCTGGGTGACGTCAGTTTGCGGAGGGTGGGTCTGGGAGATTGGGCAGAGGGCGGAGTTGGCGGGTTGGGAGGGGGCGTGGCGTTCTGGCCGAAGGCTGGGTAGGGTTGCAAGTCTGGGAAGAGAAAGAAATTGTTACTGAGACTAGAGTAATGGAGGCCGAATGTCGTTTCCATCTTTCAGTTTCATCTGTGGGATTTAAAAAAAGACAAACTTGGGGGGAGGGATTAATTGGGAGATTAGGATTGACATATGCACTACTATATATATGAAGTAGGTAACTAATAAGAGCCTACTGTATAGCACAGGGAACTCTACTCGATACTCTGTAATGACCTATATGGGGAAAGAATCTAAAAAAGAGTGGATATATGTATATGTATAACTGATTCACTTTGCTGTACAGCAGAAACTTACACAACATTGTAAATCAACTATACTCCAATAAAAATTAATTTTAAAAGAAGACAAACTTATACACAATCTGCCCACACCTTACTCCATCCTCTTCCCGCAGAGAACTTCAACAAAGCCAAGTCCCTATGCCTTAGGAAGCCAGCCTCTGGGACAAGGGGAACTTGAGCCCCAGAAAGGAGAGCCGCGCAGCCAGAGTCACATCAACTCTGGAAATGGAGACAGGCAGATCAGCAATAATGGGCCACTTGATAGGCCTATGATTCACACTGGGAGGTTAAGGGTGGTTTCCATTGTGCTTCCTAGAGGCCAAAGGGCCCGCTCTGACAGAATTTTTGAGAAAGCCTCCTCTCATCCATCTCCCACCCTCACCCATCCACCCACACACACAGTACTGCTTCTGCAATGGTATGACCAACCTTCTCATGTTTCTCACGTCTTCTCTCCAATAGCCCTGTGAAGCCAGAGGACATGGATTGGTCTGAGCTATACCCAGAGTTCTTTGCTCCACTGACTCAAAATCAGAGCCACGATGACCCAAAAGATAAGAAAGAAAAGAGAGCTGAAGCCCAAGTGGAGTTTGCAGACATAGGCTGTGGCTATGGCGGCCTGTTAGGTAACACTCTGGCCCTTTCTCTGGAGCAAGGAGAGGCAACGCCTAGGTTCTGCCAACTCAGCAGGTTTGGGGCGGGGGCATAGTTGGCCTTTCCCCTTCGGACCAGACATTGGTGCTGTGACATCAGTGTGGAGAACCTCCACTTTCCCTCCACTCTGGGTCTGTGGCCTTTGCCCTGGAGAAGGGAGGGGGCTGCCTCAAAGCCTCTTAGAAATTGGGTTGTCTTGTCTGGCCCTGCCCCTGGCCCCAGTCCCTACGTGAGCCATTTCACCTGCCAGGTGCCGGGTCAGTGAGCTGGTCAGCACAAGCGTCAGAGATTAGTCGCTGTGGCCAGTGATCCTGAACTGTCTTTCTCAGGGATTCCACCACCACCCCTCCCCCTCCCCCCTTCCTCACCAGAACTCATTCCTTCTCCATGCTCATATTTTCTAATTTCTCTTGTGTTGTCTGTATTGTCCCAGCCATACATGCTGGACCGACTTCTCTGTTTTTAGATCTTCCATAGAAATAACAGCATGACAGAGAGGAAGCTCATGGTACTTGGTGGCGGAAAACCATGGTTCAAGTTCTGATTCTACCTCTTCTTAGCTCTGTGACTTCGGGCGTTTCTGACCCTCAGTTTTCTCATCTTTGCAATTTACCACAGAATGTAATGAGGATTAAATGAGACATGTGTGAAAACACTGTGAAGACTTTAAAGCACATGCAAAGATACATGTATTCCCAGGCCCTCCCACTTCCAGTCCTGGTGACTTTTTTTGGGTCTCCCGCAGCCCACTCCTACAGCACAGAGCCATCCATACAGGTAGCTCTCTTGCCACACTTGTCATTATTGATTTTGGTAATTGCAGATTGAGGCTTCCTTTCCTGTGTTGACTCCTTTGAATATCCTGCAAGTATGAGGTTGATGATTCCATTCCTATTTCTGTGACCAGTGGAACTGTCACCGCTGTTCCCAGACACGCTGATTCTGGGTCTGGAGATCCGGGTGAAAGTCTCAGATTATGTGCAAGACCGGATTCGGGCCCTACGAGCGGCTCCTGGAGGTGGTTTCCAGAACATCGCCTGTCTCCGTAGCAATGCCATGAAACACCTTCCTAACTTCTTCCGCAAGGGCCAGGTGGGGAGGGGCACCCATGGGTTAGGCTGGTAAGCAGGTGGGGCATGGAGGCCAGGCTCTCACAATCCTGTTGGTGCACGTCTGTCTCACAGCTGACAAAGATGTTCTTCCTCTTCCCTGACCCACATTTCAAGCGGACAAAGCACAAGTGGCGAATCATCAGTCCCACGCTGCTGGCAGAATACGCCTACGTGCTGAGAGTTGGGGTGAGTCGAGAGTGGGAGGGAGGATGGGGTCAGGGACCTAATAAGGGACCTTCCACTAAGAATTCAGTGGGGGTGCATTTAGGACTCACCACCACCCCCGTGATCCTGCTGCTCAGTTGCATGCAGCCCCCCATCTAGGGTGACTTTGCCGTGCAGGGGCTGGTATACACCATAACTGATGTGCTGGAGCTACATGACTGGATGTGCACCCATTTTGAAGGGCACCCCCTGTTTGAGCGCGTGCCTCTGGAGGAGCTGGTAAGTAGGGGGCCTAAGGGAAATTGCAAAGATCTCTGGAAAGGTCCTTTCCAGAGTGGTTCTGTATGCTTTGAATCTAGCTTAATGCCAGGAGGATGGGATGGGTGTCTGGGGACCAGGGCAAGGACTTATTGAACCCTTCCTTCTCCCAGAGTGAAGATCCCATTGTGGGACATCTGGGCACCTCGACCGAGGAGGGGAAGAAAGTTCTACGCAATGGAGGAAAGAATTTCCCAGCTATCTTCCGAAGAATACAGGATCCCACCTTCTAGGCAGTGACCCCCAATCCTACCCTTCCTGATCACTGACTTTGCCTTTGCTGACTTTGCCTTAGTTGGACCCCATCTTCCAGGGACTGGAAAGAAGACTGGGCCCTTGGACCTTCCGAGCTGAGCCTCCTAGGGCTGAGCGGCAACAGTCTCTCAAAGAAGTTGAGGAGCTGCCCAGGGCAGAACCCTGGAGTTCATGACCACCCCTGACTCCTCTCACCTTCTTACCCTTCCAGTGGCAGCAGAGAGCAAAGCAGCTGACTGGGAAGGTCACAAGACCTTGGACCAGAAGGGATCTTTGGAAGGGAGTGGAATCTTGCTCTCCCTTAGCAGTCCCTTCTCCTGGGATTTCTCCTTCTCAGCTGGAGTGAAGAATGCAGTTCTCCACTGTCCATCTAAACTGCCTTCTAAGCTCAAATCACCTGCCCACTCGTGTTTACTTTGCAGTTCAGGGGGTAACGTGTATGTGTGCACATCCCATGCTGCTGTTTCTCAGGAAAGGCTAGAGTGTGTATCACTCCTGTCCTCTCCCTGCCTAAGACTTGACCTGGGGAATCTGTGTTCCGTTTATTGTTACTGTCTCTGGAGATCCTGGGAGGGTGTGGTGGTGGAGACCCTCTCCTTCTTCATGTTGACCTTTGCTTTGATCCCAGAACTTCAGAACTGTCTTGCTAACACAGAGCCTGCCAGGGCCGGGGGCGCGGGAGTGAGGAGCAGAGGTGAACTGGGGAGGATTCTGAGGCTAAAAGTGGAAAGGGGCTGCTGACTAGAAAGCCCCACAAAGGGGACTGAGTCAGCTGGAGATTCAGAGCACTCGCTTAGCCCTTGCTCTGTCCAGGAGCCCAGATAAATCTCTCAACTTTTCTCATTTGCAAAAAGTTCCTTCATTTGTGCTCCTCAAGCACCAAATTACCAAGACTGGAGGGACAGGGCTTGTTGACGGAAGAGACCCAGCCCCCTTCCCAAGGAATAAAGATGAAGGCTCCTGGAACCATCTTAACCCGTTAACCCACCTGCTATCTGCCCAGTGTCAGGTACGGGGGAGGGGGAGATGTAATGCAGGAAAATTGTGCTCACATACCAAAAAGGTGCATCCCGATGAGCCTGGAATCTGAGGACAGCTACAGCTGTGCCTCTCCCCTGCTTCCCTTCCCGGAGGAGCTGGAGGATGGGGAATTCCTGAGGATGGGCCCCAGTGGGCCTGAGGAAGTGATGGGAATACGAGGGACCCAGCCTGTATCTTGGTCACCTAAGCCTCACCAAATAGCCATTCCGAGGAAGAGATCTTTAGGCTGCTGGACTAGGGCACCAGCCCGGGAGGAGAAGCCTCCCCTCCCAAGATGGTCATTGCAACATGAGGTCCACGGGAGCCTCTGTGGCAGCTCCGGCCCCGCCTACTGTTCCTGGGTGCTCATCCCCAGCACAGACCACTCAGGAGAGGGGATTGGCTGAGGAGCTTGAAGAGGGGGCGTCGCCACTGTCGCGCCGAAGAGTTAAATAGGGGCTGGGGCAAGGCGCTCCGGAGAAGCACTCTTTCCCGGGTTCCCCAGCTAGACCATGACCCAGACCCTCAAGCTCGCTTCCAGAGTGTTCCATCGCGTCCGCTGCCCTCCTGAGCTGGGCGCCTCACTGGGCTCCAGAGGCTCGGACTCAGCGCCCCGGGGCTTGGCGGACATCCCAGGCCCCTCCACGCCGGGCTTCCTTGCTGAACTTTTCTGCAAGGGGGGACTGTCACGGCTACACGAGCTTCAGGTAGAGGGCACCGTTCTCGGGACTGAAAGCTGGGGAGGT